TTAACTAAAGAACCTCCAGAGCTGAATAAACATTGATGTTAAATATGTAGTGATCATTGTAAATTGCCAGTCAAGGTGTTCATAACTTTATACGTAAGAAGGGAGATAAATAGGTGTAAGAAGAAGTCCCACACTCAAAATCTCTACCAAATTCAGACAATCAGCTATTTCAATATTTAAATTAATAAATAAATAGTATTGGAAGGTTGGAGATTGTTAGATGGGGAAATTGGAGTATCAAATAATCACAGTCTCTTTATACCCTAGTTTCTTTTTTTTCCAACCCAGGATACAGTCAAGGATTATGCACTACATTTGGTTATCAGGTCTCTTTAAGTCTCATTTAATCTAAAGGTCCCCTCTTGCCTTGTTCTGTCTTTTATGATATTGGCACTGTGAAGAGTCCAGGCCAGTTATCTTACAGAATATTGCACATTGTGGATTTCCTTGGTTGTTTCTGCATTACTCAGTTCAAACTAAACCTTTTGGTAAGAATATCACACAGGAGATGTTGTGTACTTCTCACTGAAACACATCAGGAGGCACCAAATGTTAGTCCCACGTCTGCCAGACTGTTATATTGTGAAAGTCATCTTTTATAACTAATAACGAATAATTTGGGAGGGTGATAATTTGAGACAATGTGAATAACTTTCTCCCTTTACAACCTTTCCTTGATGGTTTTAGTATCCTTTCAGTTTCCCTACCAGTATCAATTATTATATCTATTATCTTAGCTGATTTTATTTTATATATATTGAGAAAAAGAGATCTTTTCCTTCCCCTTCCCCCAACTCTCTTTTATTTTATTTTTGAGTATGAGTAGAGACTCATGGATCTTTTTTTTATATTTTACATCTCAGCTTTTCTTGTTTTCAAATACCCATCATACTGTCACATTTGACTACAGAGCATTCAGTGTATAAAATGTGTGGGGATCTAAATTCAGAAGACACAAGCTTTGTGACCTTGGGCAAGGAACTTCTATTTTTCGGTCTTCTGTGTCTCCTAACACCCTGGGGGAGGCACTAGGTCATCTCTGAGGTTGCCCCTAGCCAGTGATTCTATGATTCTTCGATCACGGAGCGAGCGTTGTCTGATGGCCCACTCTTTATTCAGAGAAACCTACTCAAGCCATTTGTTTAAAAGTGTCATTATCACTATATTTTGGGGTAATGTTCCTGAGTTTGGAAAAACAAAAACAAAACAAAACATTAACGGAAATGACTTTGACACCCATCTCTTCCTCCTGTAGGTTTCTCTGTCTCCAGATCTAGTAGGACCTTATGGCTTTTATGAGCCATTTAAAAGAACTAGAGCTAATACTTGTACAAATCCATAGCTCTTGTATCAACCAAAACCAATAGTGCCTCACTCTTTTTCCTTTTTCCTCTTGCATTGAGGACTATTGAACTTGTTTGCTGAGCTTTTGAATTATAGCCAATTTTTATTGGTTTTAAGAAGACTGTTAAAGGGTGGTGCCACAGCAGACTGGGAAAAGACACTTCAGGCCACCCCCCCACCCCCTACACACGCACTTTTCCCCTTTGTCTTTCTGTTATTGATTCCCTCTGGTCAAAGGAACACAATCTGTAGGATTTGAGGACTATTTTAAATTTGTTGAGGTTTGTTTTATGGCCCAGGATATGGTTTATCTTGCTGAATGTCCCATAGGAGCTTGAAACAGATACGTATTTGCTGCTGTTTTGTGGAGTATTCTACTACACATATCATTTGAATTCTGTCGCTTAATTTTGTTATTTAGGTCTTTTATATCCTCGCAGATTTTCTGACTAGTAGGTCCCTCAGCTGCTGGGAGGGGGATGTTAGGGCGCACAACTGTGATGGTGTATTTGTTTATTACTTCTCTCAGCTCTATTGATTTTTGCTTCATGTAAGGAGGCTCTGTTGCCTGTTATAAACACATTAGGATTCTGTGGCTTCCCGGTGTATCAGTATTCTATAATTATGTAATATCCCTCTTGGTCTCCAGTAATTTTCTTTTCTCTGAAGTTTACTTTATATGATATCAATGTAACAATTCCTGTTTTTAAAAATTAACATTTGCATGGTACATCATTTTCTTTCATTAAATTTGAAAAAGTTTCTTGTGAACAGAACATTGTCGGACCTTGCTTTATGTATATATTCATTCACTTGCACCTTTACTTACTTATTTCCTTCCTTCCTTCCTTCCTTCCTTCCTTCCTTCCTTCCTTCCTTCCTTCCTTCCTTCCTTCCTTCCTTCCAACAT